CAAAGTATACCTAGACACAGGAGAACTATTGTCGTGAAAGTGTTGTACAGTCGATTACGAATTTAGATTGCAGAGAGTTTGTTCTGAGCGCTAAAGGCACTCACGATAGAGCACATTTTGCTTTATTATAACAGTCAGAAGATGCTTGTCATTATCTATTTGTTACCATCTGCTTCCGCAGTACAGGGCCACTAAGATCATTGTCTCAATTCATTGATGCACTAGTGGAGTGGGAGCGATGGAGTCATGGTTGAGGCATATCTGATGGGTGGAACTGCAATTAATGGACAGGTTTGTAAATTTTCGACTGATGCTCGTTTTCCATTTACTATTGATCTTCATGTTTACCATCTGCTTCTGCAGTACAGGGCCACTACAATCATTCGCCCAACTCATTGATGCACTAGTGGGAGCGATTGAGTCATGGTTGAGGCATATCTGATGGGTGAAACTGCAATTGATGGACAGGTTTGTAAATTTTCAACTGATTCTAGTTTTCCATTTACTATTGATCTTCATGTTTACCATCTGCTTCTGCAGTACAGGGCCACAACAATCATGGTCTCAATTCATTGGTGCACTAGTGGGAGCGATTGAGTCATGGTTGAGGCATATCTGATGGGTGGAACTGCAATTAATGGACAGGTTTGTAAATTTTCAACTGATGCTCGTTTTCTTGTTACTATTGATCTTCATGTTTACCATCTGCTTCTGCAGTACAGGGCCACTAGACTCATTGTCTAAACTCACTGATGCAGTAGTGGGAGCGATTGAACAATGGTCGAAGCATTCGGATGAGTAGTTGGTGGCCTCACAGGAGTATAGGTCCAGAATGAAAATGGTTTCAATGATTTAGTACTTCGTGCGATTGATTTGTTAAGGTATAGAAGGTATAGTATAAATAAGCCATCAAGGCCAACACCAACATTGCCATCACTATATTGTCAAATCACTAGAAGCGCATTTGTTTAGACTAGCCTTGTTTTTAAAGCTCATGCAAATATTTATGAAATGAAACAAAGTGCTTAGCAGAGCAAAGACATACCGCTCTGTCACCATACGATACTTGAGATATGTATTATAACTAGTCGTGAGGTCTCTGGACACCTGTGGGATATAATTGCCAGCTCCTTTCTAGAAATAATATTGGATTCAGCTTTCAACTCAACCTTCTTTGGATTTGAGACCCTCAGTGGACATGTCAGGTGAAAAGGGGAAGCAAACGGGAATGGTTCAACAATCAGATGTTGGTCACTCAACATTCTCTTGTTTTGTGAGGTGTATGCCATGCATCTCTTCTGCTTTTGACGATGATTTTGTAGCTTGACGGATTGATTCTATGAAATTTTGTTGAGGAGGACAACATTTGATAGCAAGCACTTGCTGGCAAATTGTTATTTTGCCTTTTCTTACTGGTGAATTGTTGCCTTGCTCTGAATTTGATTGCTGGGCTTTGGCCCCTTGGCTATACCTTGAGTTGTTTCCTCCAGCGTCGTCAATTCTTGTTGAGCCATTCGTCAAACTCTTGATTTGTTTGGATGCGTCGGCAATCTTCTATTGTCACTTGTATTTCTTCTGTGGACAACTCTTGAAGAGATGAGGTTGATTGGTGCTATCTGTGTCTCCATCTGTCATCCCAGTAATCTGAAGCGAAGTATGATAAAGAGTACTGACAGTATCCATAATATGGAGGCTGTCTCTGTCCCATGCATTGCACCCTACGTTCTCTCCAAACATAGCTGTAGAAACCATAACACCGTCTATGTCCTTGTGTGTGTAGTTAGAGTGAGCGAAGTCCAATCTTTGCCTTCTTGTCAGGCGTAGCACAATGGCATTTTACTGGGTTGGTACTTTTTGATCGCGTTCAGGTAGATTGTAGTCTTCTGCTGTTGGAACTTGACCATAGTTTCATAGTGCAGTTCTTGATCTGGACGTGGGAGGTGCAGTTCCAGGTCTTGAAGGCTTGGGAATAAGCAAGGCACGGGACGTTGATTGACTGGAAGTCTATTGCCGTGCATTTTGAGAAACAAACAGTGAGATTCTTGCCACATTTCGTGACCACTAAGGCGCTGGTGACTGGATGTCAATTTCGTTGCACTTGGAACAAAGTCATGCATGGACGATTCGTAACGAGTTTTCAGGAGGTATGGGAGGGCAAGAAAAATTGCGGAAGCACAGAAGAGAGAACAAGAAAAAGCTCTGGTTTGTGGCGCCAGAAAATCGGATTTGCGGAGGAGTAACATCAAAGGAAAAGCAATAGCAATAGCAATAGCAATAGCAATATATAATTACCTCAGTCACGTGTCATATCCGTTGTATTGTTCTTTTGTGTAGGTGCTGTCTTCTGTTGCCAAGTGATGTGCAAGGAAAACATCCACAGTTTTGATGGTTGCGAAAAATGTGATGTCTGGGAGCGAAAAAGGGAAATTGGGTGCAGATATTTGGGATCACCAGTTTGTAGGGAGAAAAGGAGGGGTGTATAATTTTTTCGTTCCGTACAAGTATTGCCGTTAAAAGGAGGGTTTTTGCCTAAACAAAATAAATAGACAGTTGGAATTTGAATATTTTTTGTTCTGAGAAAAAAAAGGAAAAATGGGAGCGCACTAAGAAACACAAAAGGGTTAAGGTCAAATTCCGGTGCCGCGGAGCATTTCCTACCATTGCAAGCATCCCATTCAAAGTCAATAAGCCACGAGAAGGACTTCTCTGGATTGATTGCACCACCTGTTGCCCGAATTCCCCCCAACCACAAGGTGGCAGCAGCCTGAACTGAGGCGCAAATATCCTCCCCAGAGTGATGGACCGTGCCACCTGCTTCAATCACATCCGTATTGTCAACAAAACAGAAACATTGGGCTGTCACTAGTTGTGACTCTAGCACCAAAAGACACTCAAATCCATAGCCCATTGCTTCCATCATTGTGATTAACACCGAGCTCGTTGAGATCCAAATGGGGGGTCCGGCACCATTCCCTTGCCCACAACCTTGGAATGGCACCGCTGACGGAGGGCGAAAGCTTCTCTTGGAGTCACCAAAACCTGTGCAAACACGGTGGGTAGCGGAGGAGAGCATGTTGAACATCGATGATAGGACATGCCATGTCAAGCCAAACCGCAACATTGTGACAGGCAGAAGTCTCCAGGCTTCTTTTCAATGGCAAAGTTTATCAGGTTTTGCCATTGAAGAGGAACAAAGCCTGTGGTGAGAGGAATGTTCCGGAAGAGGGCGTCACAGTACGCTATGGATGAAGACTGGATAGCCGCCTTGAAGTGTCCATTATGAAGTCCATGAGGTTTGGATCCTTTATTCTTGGGGTTCCGCGACCAACAGTACACATGATCGTCCTTGGAGACTTGCAAGTGGACTGGAGAGTGCCCTTTGTGGAACTGGCAGTGAGATAAGAAAGAAGCTGTAGCTGGATCCAACAGATCAGGTAACGTGTAACGACCTTCCAACAATGCCAGAGAATTTATTTCAACGTTGTCACCGGTAAATTTGCTATATAACGGTTTGGCCATAGGTGGGCGCTCGTGTTTGATCATAGCGTGCCGTGTTTTCTTGCATCCACCCATCTTCTACAAGGCGGCGGTCAATGATGGTCCGGAGACTTGTAGTACCATCTGGTAAGTGTTCTTCAATTTGAATAGCCTGAAGGCCCCTGGAGATCCTTTGCTCTGGGCGACGACGGCGTCTCGTCTCCTCTCTTTGCTTCATTTGTTGTAACCAAAAGAATCTATCATGGGCCTTCCAAGACTTCCACTGATGCTTCTTTGCGTCCTTGGTTTGGACCGTCAAGAAGTCTTTCCTCCATTGGCCTGCTTGTACAAGGAGCGCTCTTCAGTCCTCCAGATCGACCTTATATATATAATATATATATATATATATATATATAACTTAATCATTAATTGGTATTATGCTACTTCTAGAGTATCCAACTGCCGGTGTAATACGGCTGTAGATGCCAGGAAGTGGGTTGCTTTTGGTCAACAAAGTTTGAACCATGTGGAGGCGTTCAATAGAGGAACGTTGCTCGCAAGTCGAAAGTGTCAAGGGACGATCGGCTCTCCCACGCAAGGTGGGGTGGAGAATATGTATGTGTTAGACTGGGGTACGTGTGGCTTGTGATGTACCGGTACCAGAATCACTTTGGTAAATATGTAGACAAGTAAGTCAGGGGGCTGCTGGGCGAGGAGTAGGGTGGGTCAGTTCCCACATCAATCGTCGCCTGCCTGCAAGAGATCGTCTGATTTTGCGGCGGGCTTCGGAGATGACGAGGACCCATTCCTCCTTGTCCGCCAGGTGGAGTCGGAGGACGTCTACAAGGCGGGATCGACGGATGACAGGGCGAAGGTTCCGAGGTAGGTCGCGAGGACCCATGTCAAACTCTTCGTGGATGCGTCGATCAAGAGCAGTCGCGCGCTGTTGGTTGACGATGTTGTCGTCAGAATGAAAGACATCATTGCGATGCTTCCACATGCCTTTACCGATAAGGATGAGCTGTCGAGATAGATTGGCAGCCCAGCGGTTACCGGATCGGCGACTACCGCGAGAGCGGTAGAATTGTTGCTGGAGGTCGGCCCAGCCGTGGACGAGAAGGCCTTCGAGGAGACATTGGGGGCCAAGGCGGAGTTGGGCCTCACAGACTTGGGTGAGGGCGGAAGAAGACATTCCGTGTAGGCGGTACCACGGAGTCTCTGTTTGAGGCTGGTTGTGAGGGGTGCGAATAGTGCGAAGGAGGGCCCCGAAGAATTGGGCAATGGGTGGAGCAGTGGTGGTGGACTGGAACCATTCTTGGAGTTCTTGGAGTAGGAGCTGCCACTGGGTCTTGGCGCGGTCGGAAGGGCAGCGGGGGACATGTAGGTGGTCTTCCTCCAGGCCGCACAAGGGGCATTGGTTCTTGGAGTCGAGGCCCCATCATTTACGGAACTTGCCGCCGCCGCACATCCCAACGGTGTGTTTTGTGATGAAGCGCTGTTCGGCGGGCTTCAGAGACTTCATCGCTCGGTGCACGATTGGCCAGTCCACCGATCGGAAGTGTTCGGGAGCGAGGCGGCCTTTGGCTGCCCATTATTCCATCAATTCCGGCAGGACAACGGCGATTCTAAGGCCAGGCAGGAGACCTTCTTGTTGTCGATGTAGATCGCACAGGGTTCGGAGAAGAACTTGGGATTGGTGGCGATCGTGTCCTCGGTGGCGATCAGCTTGTCGGCGTAGCCCTGGAAAATGTCGTCCACCTCGGAGTTCCGTCGTTCCCACCAAGACATCTGTCGCCATGTCTTGGTTCGGTCAGCGTGGCCATCCACATGTTGTTCGGCCCAGGATATGTTGGAAACTTGGAGGGCTTCGCGGATGGAGAACAAGAGATCAAAGTGTGGGGCCAAGTCGAGAAGGCCTGGCGAAGCGCGGCAATCCCATCACACGCCCCCCCATCAAGTTCGTCAAGTTCGTAGCTGGACAGCGGCTGTGCCCACTTGTTGCTTGAAGGAGCCATCGCTGATCACCCGTAGCTTCCCCTTCTCCAGTGCCTCCAGGAGGACTTGTTCGTCACCCTCAATGTAGATGTATTCCGGGACCCATCCCAAATTGTCGTCCATGTCGGCTGCCAATTCCCTCCAGATGTGAAGGATCGAGGCTGGCAAGGACTCCTGGTCTGGTAGATCTACCGGGGCTGTGCCCGTGACAGTGATGTAGGCTGTCCGTGGGTGAAGGTTGACTGAGGCCCATTGGACGTCCCCAGGAAGGGTGCCCGTCCAGGTGTGGTGAAGATCCCTTCGGAAGGTCTTATGGGAACGCGAGTTGATGGGCCGGTAGATTGCCAGGTTTTTGTCTGTCCAATGGAAGAGGATCAAAGTGGTACAAGAGAAGAGCCAGGTCCAGCGGTCTAGCGAATCAGACCACGGTCCGAGGGGCTGCAACAATCGGCGACGGCGGCTGTAGGGGCGGAGGACAGCTTGAGAGAGGAAGCGTCGCCATAGGTCCCAGTGAGAGGGGCCAGGGCGTCGAGTTCGGGGCCAATTGTAGCTGGTAACAAAGTGTCCAGAGGGGTGGCCGGCAAGAGAAGCTGCCGTCAGGGAACGACCATCGGAGATATTGGCGGCACTAGTTGAGCCACAGCAAGTCCTCTTGGTCGACCAAGGCATCGATGAAGATGTCCATCAAGAGACGATCGTCGACACAGTGGAGGGACAAGGGAGGGGAGGAGATCTCGACTCTGATGCCCAATGAGTCGAGCTCGATCCAACCCCGTTTGAGCCATGTTTTGGAGGCAAGGATCCCGGTGTTGGTGGGTTCTTGTTGAAGAAGGGGAAAGGAGGTGCCCGTTTCGAGTTGGTGGGACTGTAGGTTGGCCTCCAGGTACTGGCCGGTCTCGGTACGGTTGGCCAAATGGCGCATTATAAAACTGAGATGATGGAAGACTTGAAGGGCGAAAGGATGCGGGATACCCAATCCCTGGTACTTCAGAGGGGCAAAGACCACGACGCGGGGAAAGGAACGGCAAACCCCAGCTTTGTGCAAACTCGCTTGGAGGATTGGTGACATGATGGACACCCAGTCGGAGCGGCCCAGTGTGGAAAGGGGCATCACGTACTCCAAAGTTTTCATGGCGGTTGCCTTGAGCAAGGGAAGAACGTCATAGTGAAGTAGATGTTGGGGAAGGAACTTGGCTGCCCAGTTCTTGGCCTTCTCCCGCAGGGCAAGGTGTTGTGCAGTTCCGGTCTCAAGTGGGGCCATCATGACTCCCAGGGTCCGTTCAGCTTCATCGGGTTGGAGGCGTCGTAGTGTCGCCCACGGCCCAGTCGGGTCTTGGAGGGTCAGTTCGCCAGGCATTTCAGCCTTCCTTCGAAACACCCACGTGCCAGAGGACGGCCGCCATTTGAAATCAATCAGCCACCAGAAGGACTTCGCCGGGTTGATAGCTCCACCAGTGGCACTGATGCCACCCGACCATAGGTCCAAAGCCGATTGTACCAAAGGGAGGAGGTCTTCGCCAGTCGTCTCCACGTTGTCGTTGGACTCCATGACATCGGTGTCATCAACAAAGCAGAAGCACAAAGCGAAGAACTCCTCGTTAGTGAGGGCAGTGTTGCTCATGTACCCAAATCCCTCGGCCTCTATGGCGTCAATGAGGATGGCACTGATTGCAAGATACACGGGCCTGCGCCGTTGCCTTGACCGCAGCCTTGGAAGGGAACATCGCCAGTGGGCCCAAAGGTCAGATCCGAGTTGCCAAAGCCAGCTCGGACCCTGTGTTTAGCCTTGGCCAAGATATCGAACATTAGGTTGGTGACAGTGACCGGCAGGCCGAATCTCCGCAAGGCCGTCTTCGCCACCCAGTGAACGATGCGATCGAAGCAAGACTTTGCGTCGTTCGAGATCCAGCCGGAAGACCGTCTTTCCAGGATGAGCGAGTCCCAGATCAATCGTTTGGATAGGGCAAGATCAATGGACTGGTGCTGCTTGCGTGACCCACACTGTCCTTCAGGGATGATGTCATCCTCCTCAGCATTCTTCATTGCAGCCCGACCCGCCTTCTTATAGACGTTTCTACTTGAACAGCCAAGGCCGCCAAGGGTTGGGCAGAGGATGGTTCCTGAAATTGAACACCTGCACTTATACGGCCCTTCTTGGCTGGTTGTTTTGGTGGCTTGCCCTGCTTGGTGGCCTTCTTTGGTTGTGTCAATGTGTTGGGAACCATAGTGCTCTGCCCGGTGGATGACTTGCCTAAGGTTCTGTTGCTAGATCTGACCGGTGGAGTCAATGCTTGACGTTCAGGAGACTCGCGATTGTTGTGGGGTGGAGTGGGAGATGGCTGACCCATCATGGTAGGTAGATCGCTGGCCTGACTCTGGAGGACAGCAAGCTGTGCTTGCAGTGCCGCATTGTCCGCACGTTGTTGTGCCAAGGCGCGTTCCTGATCCTCCAGCGCATTGTCCCAAATCTTGATCTCATTGAAGGCATCTTCCAGCTGTTGCTCTTGTTCCTGCATCTTGTCCATCATTCCCGTCACGGTCTTCCCATCATCAATGTCTTTGTTGTTAGCCATATCCAAATCAATTGAGAGTTGGCCATTGTAGACATCCGTTGTGTCTTCCATCACATCATCCAGGAACTCCATCCTCAACCGTGTCTGGCAAGGCGGTAGCCTCCACAGCACAAAGTGTGTTTGTGCACCATTTGAGGTTCTTACGCCGAGCCATACTGATCTCTGATTGCAGAACCCATTTACAAAGGGCTTGATCGGTTTTTGTCGGAGTTGGCTCATACAGGTGATGAGTCAGAAAAGGGACCAGGCCCTTCAAGACGTTATGAGCCAATTGTCCAAACTTCTTGCAACACACCAGGATGTAGGTGCCCTCCATCTCGCCTGGTAAAACCATCAAGAACAACGGATCGGGCTTGTGACGCTCCTGATCATTCTTCAGCTTGGGGTCAGCAGCCTCAGCCATTTTCCGTTGGGCTGGGGAGAGATTGTTAAGGAACGGATTCTCATTATCAGTGATCAACTTCTTCTTCTTCTTTGCCTTCTTTTTCACCTTTGTTGCCGCCTTCTTAGACCAAACATCTGTGAATTGACCGACTTTAGAGCCAGAGGATTCATTGGAATTGTCGTCAGAAGAGTCATCGTCTAGTCATCGTCTAGTCATTGTCTGAGTCATCAGTCTCAGTTGTTGATTGGTGAGAGTGAGAAGCTTTGTTGGCTTGAGCTGGGGTTGTCTTGGTCAACAAGAGAAGCTTAAACAAGGTGCATGAGCCAAACATAGTAGTAGTAGCGAACTTCAACATCCCAGGAAGGTCCATGACCAAATAAAGGACCTCTGTCAGGATGTAGTAATCATGTAGTTTGCTAATAAGGGTGAGGGTAGCATCCTTGACCAGACCATAGGTCTTTGCACTGACCGGTTTCTGTTGAGCAGACTTCCAATCACTGATAAATGTAGCTGGAGCAGCGAAGGGGAAGTCTGGCTTCACCCCAGCGTTGCTCACCGCATCATCATCCTTATTATCATCATCATCTCCGTCGTCCTCATCATCTGAAGAAAGTGGTGCCGTCACTAGTATTTCATTGTCATTGTTGTCCTGATTTGGTTGTTGGTAGGCATTGCCATCAATAGTAGTGGCATCGTTGTCCGCAGCCTTGGCATTGTCAGCATTTTCCCCAATCGATCCGTCATCATCCACCAGTGCATCATATCTATTGTCGGTCAGATTACGATGACACTTCCTTTGATCCACTAAAGTCGTTTTGTTCAAATGAGAGTGGCCTACCGCATTGTCCAAATTGTCATTCATTGGATCACTGTTCTTCTGAATTGCATGTTGAATGTGATGGGTTGAACTTTCTGGTCGGAAAAAGGACTGAAAAAGTTTTTGTTTGATGCCACGGATGATTGACAAAGGCAGCTCGTTATAATAGTCGTCGTCAAAGGTTGTTGCCCATGGATAATCAAACATTTCAGAACAAATCAACCAAAAGCCAACACACTGATTTCCCAGACGAAGTCGAGGATCCGACTTGTCCCCATAAAAGAATTGATTGTTGTTCTGGTTTTTCTCAAATTCGTCAATACCAAAAAATAAGAAAGGGTTCTGCAATGAAATTTGCATAGCAAGAACTTGCAGTGACCAGACGTCTTTGGCTGCTTTATCCTCGATTGTGTAGAGATCAAAAGAGGAGATGAGATATTGAGCCAGTTGGGCATTATCAGAGTTCAGATATGTAAAAATCTGAATAAATTGATCGTTGCATGTTGGTGTGGGCATCAAATCGCAAACAAGGTTGATTCCAAGCGCCTGGATATTGATCATCCCAGGCTGCAAAAAAGGCGTTGCCTGTTTGAATGCGATCCATTCTTTGCAGCGCTCGATTGACTGCTTCACCACAGTAAAATTTCTTTGACCACCACTCAGATCATTTAGGAACCAGTTTATTGTAGTCCTCTCTATGCCGCGCCTCTAGCTTGGCGATTCATTCATTGTGCCTCAAATTTGTCGGCCGTTCGTAGAGCGTCTTGATCATTAGCGATTTGCTTGATGTCAACATCATTGGAATTGACAGGGTCTCTGTCTTTGGGCTGTTCCAAATCAATTTCCAGCCGTTTTTTCATCGCTTTTTTTCCTACAGAGGAAGCCGTGGACTTAGCCACGCCCAGTTTTTTGTACTAGCCGAGGCAGCCTTCGAAGCTGGAGATTTGGCCATATTTTGCCAGTGTTTTGCCGTTTGTTTGTTGATAAATTCAAAGTTTTCTACGTATAATCAGTACTAGCGCTGTGTGGAGCAGATTGGCCGGTTCTGCGTGTTTGCGTGTTGTTTCATTTCTTATTTTCTTTTTTCTATGTTTTCTAAAACAACGTATTTGCGATACTCTGGGGCCATGTCAATCAATATCTGGACCATCATGCCAGTGATTTTCATGTAGTTTGTTCTTCTCCTTCCTTAGCTTCAGGCATATAAGTTTGAATGAAAGCGTTAGGAACATCCATCAACATTATATCTCTACCTTCGTGTGCATCAATCACACAAGTAGTGGTGATTGCTTCTTGCAAAGTAGTTGGACTTGCAGTGTCCTCTCGCAATAATCATTCACGAGTTTTATTGCCTCGGTATACTAGGTGACCTTTAATTGTCTTTTCGAATTGCTTCTCCACAAGTAACATCATCGCTGATTGGGCCTTCTTTTGCTCAGACGCGGTCATGTCTTTTACAAATTTGGGAGTGAAACAATCTCTCAGGAGCATTTGTCTCAATTCCTTATCCACAACATCCTTTCCATCATCACCAGACTTCTTCAGTCCTTGATTGATGTAATACTGTTGGATGAAGTTCAGACCTTCATCAGTATCAAACTTGGCCTTGATCTGCATCATGCAACAAGTGATCAGAATAGCGTCGTGCTCTTCATAATCAGCTTTCATCTCATTCCCAATCTGTTGGAAACATAGATTGTGCTGTGCTTCAAGGATAGCTTTACTGTCTTTAGTACTGTGACTTCCTTTGTTGGTACGAATACCAGATTTTAACTTGTTCTTCAAAGGTTTCAATTCCCTCTCTCGATACTTGCGTCTTGTCGCAACTTGATTTTTGTTCTTATTGGCAGAACTGCCACTCCTGCTTGAAGGTCATTCTCTTGGTTTCTTTGGAACTTGAGAAAGGTTCAGCCCAGACATTGCAGCTTGCGCATACGTTTGCCCAGATTGAGTGACTTTTGCTACTCAAGGCGTTTCAAGCTCAAATACAATCTCTTCTTCTGGCGGTTCTTGTGGGTCTTCCAGATCAGTACCGAGGCTCCCAATATCATCGGTTCCTCTATCAATATTTTCTTGATGGTGATCCAAATCGGCCACAACAGGTTAATGGAAGTAACACCTTTGGTAGCAGCCCAAGCTTCAACATGCTGGATTACTTGGTCGGTAACGGGTAGTACGACGACCTTGGGTTGGAAAATCATCTTTGTAGTATTGAGGTTGAGCACTCGGTGCCCAGTACGTTGTCCCTTTGTAGGTTCAATGTAAATTGCTTTGATACTTTGGGGTTCCATTGAATTGTTGAAATCCGTCCCAATTGCATGAACATATTGTCCAAGTTCAGCAAGCATATCACTATTGTAGTTGATATTGACAATATCAATGAGTTGCTGCGGACTGAGATGTGATGAGATACTGTCTTTCTGGGGAAAGACATTCAATAGCTCGGCGGCTCGACGTCCAAGACATTCAGTGATCACTTTTGGGACCACTTTGTAGGGTAATCGTGCAAGAGCTATTCTGACTCTTTCTTTCAACGTCCTATTGGTTTGCTCAGCTGTAGGCTCGTGGTCTCCAGCTGCAGTTGGGCCAATAGCAACACCCATATCGTCTAGCACATCATCCGTGAGAGGAATGAATGCCCAATCACACTTGATTGTCTTGACTTGAAAGCCTGCCTTGTTGTAGCGGCGGAATATCTTATCCAATGCTTCAAATACAGGGTCAGTCTTTCAGGTTCTGCACGGGAATACATGAGCAATAACGCATTCTCGATCTCCATGTGATCAATACAGACGGTAATAGATCTATTGTGTTGATATAATTACTCTGGTGGACTGAAGAAGACGTCGTATGTCTTCTTTGGAGTTAGTCTTGTTGACTTGCCTTTCAATGTAGAGGCGTCAGGTCCAAAGATTGCTTTGGCATGATTGATCGCTTCTTCAGTGATAGGACAGTTCTTGATGAGACCAGATCAGATTGCATACTTCAGACTTTTGGTGTTTGGAGCATTGAGTATGTGCATGGCACTTCTCGCTTCCATCGCAGCCTTGACTTGTCTTGGAGTGAATCCTTCCTTATTCTTTTGAACAGTTGCCATCTTGGAGGTCATCTTGAGTCCAGCATATCCATTCTGCTTGTTTGAAGAAAGTTCAAAATGGGGTTGATTTTTTCAGTAGTTTAACTGGCAACGATACATTGCACTTGTCCCATGTTAGTGTGCATATCAAGCTCCTTCTCAGCATGACGGAGTCCATGCATGAGCTCACCATTACAAATGGTGGTGTTTGTGCAACCACTGTCCATTAGCGTTCACAGTGCCGCCACCTTGAGTTGGAATCTGCATGAGCTGCATTCCCAATGGAACTTGCATCATCTGATTACCTGTAGTACCAGCAAGTCGCAAAGGTGTGTTAACGCTTCCTGCAACACTTGATGCTCCACTTGTGGATGCTGAAGCTCCAGGAACTATAGCTGGAACAGTAGCTGGGACAGTTGCTCCAATCTGATTATGATTGAGCTTCTTCCCATAGTCGACATATTGGTCCTGATTCTTCCATTGGATCCTTGGTAGCAGTCTGTCTGGGCATTTTGGAGACGTATGGTCTTTATTGCCACATACCTAACATGCTGCCTTCTTCTTTCCATTCTGTTTCCCTTTCCCTTTACCTGTATTAGGTTGGTCTTTTCCTTGGTACAGGTTCACTCCCGGATTTTTAATCACATCCATGTGAATCTTCAACATATCTTGTGCTTTGCTGACCGTCTTTGGATAATAATCCACTTCCCTGCAGTAGTTTGTCTGAAGATCCAGCATCAGAGAAGCTGTCCTTGTTCAATCTCAGTTGCATAGAAATCCTGTTGCAAGAACGGCTTCAAAGATATCATCTTTGAACTTGTTTTGAGCAGCAGTATCGGTGCTAGTAATAGCAGCATACGCTTTTTGTCTTGAAGGCAAAATTTTGGAACCAGGCCACGCCATATAGATCTTGTAGGACTTCAGCCTGTCTCAAGAATTGTTCCTTGAAATGCATCAAGTTTTCCGTTGTTCCTTGTTTCATCGCAAAGAACTTTTGATTGGCTTCCCAGAAATCCAAGAAGTCATACTCAGCGTTGGCACTCTTCTTCATGAATCGTTCAATACGGTTCAAGAGTTTGATTGGATCTTCAAGAATAGTCGTGAACTTGGCTTCACCTTGAAGCTTGATATCCATCGCTTTTGTCACAAACTTCAGCATGATGGTGACTTGACAGCTTGCTTGTTTGTCTCATAATGCGCTGCTCTGTCAGCTTTGCAGAATAGAGAATCTTGTTTTGAGTCATCTCTGTTTCTCTTGCAACAACTTCAGTTTGAACTGGAGCATCCAACTTTGGTGCGACTGAATCAAAGTCGATTGACTTTCCATCTGGAATCAATTTCACCATGTCTTTGGAGCACTTCATTCCAGAAGCTTGGACATGCCAATCAGTCTTTCTTTGGCATGTGACTGTGGAGACCTAGAATCTTCAACATATCTTGTGCTTTGCTGACCGTCTTTGGATAATAATCCATTTCCCTGCAATAGTTCATCTGAAGATCCAGCATCAGAGGAGCTGTTCTCGTTCAATCGCAGTTGCACAGAAATCCTGTTGCAAGAACGGCTTCAAAGATATCATCCTTGAACTTGTTTTGAGCAGCAGTATCAATGCTAGCAATAGCAGCATACGCTTTTGTCTTGACTACAAAATTTCGGAACCAGGCAACGCCATATTGATCTTGTAGGACTTCAGCCTGGGATATGCCGCAGTTTGTCATCAATCTGAGCAAAAATGCGTGACGGGCCGACTTGCTCACTCTTTCTGCAGGGGTATTCAGTGATTCTACATCTTCTTTGCTCATGGAAATTAACTTTTGTTTAACATCTCAAGGTTTTGGTCGTATTTGTAGTCTACTCTTATATAAAATAAAATTTCCTAAGTGAAAATCAGCTGTAAAGTTGTCGTTAATGACTGCAAGATATCCCAAAATTGTCGTAAACAAATCTACAACAGGTTTACGACAATGACTGGGTCAAACAAAGTGTTACTTTGCTGGCAAAGAGTCCGAGTGGACTCCAAAACAGCTTCATATCCGCAATGACCAATGGCAATTAAAAGACCAAATGATCAATTGTGAGATTCAGGCCCACATTGACTCCTTTCGCAAACGACTGAAGCCACTGTTCCGTCGCCAAAAAGTCTATTCAAACCTCACTCTCATCCAGCACCGTCTCCTCTCCACCCTCCGCCATCACCCTGATCTACTCGTCCTCAACTCTGATAAGAATCTAAGACCAGTGATTTTGGAACGAGAAGTCTACGTGCGCCGCTGCCTTACTGATCATCTTCTCACCTGGCCCTATCAACAACTTTCTCAGGAAGAAGCTGACAACTTCACCTCTGAAACGAGACACCTTCTCAAGAAATTCCTCACCGAGAACTCCTATGCCATCAGTGAAATGGACATGACATATCTTTGGAGATCTCTTGAGTCTGTGACGGACCCCTATGCATACTTCTACGTCCTTGCGAAGATTCACTTGGAAGACACGCCCAATCGTTTCCGTCTCTGGAAGCTAACAACTTCAGCCCCTTGTTAAGAAAGTTCCTACCTACCTTTCCAGCTCATTCCAACTAAAAAATGATTTGGACAACATGCATGGAACTGACTTCTCTTGCATGTGCCTCTTCACTGGTGATGTAGTGGCAATGTACCCCAGCATCGACCTTGAAGACGCCTTTCTTTGTATCCGCAACTTCTTGACAACTTCCCCTCTCTGTGACAACGTCTCAGCCAACCAAATCCTGGTTGCCCTTGAAATAATCATGAAAAGGAACTGTTTCCGCTTTGGAGATACCTACTGGCTCCAAACAGACGGAACTGCAATGGGCACACCACCTGCACCCTCCTTTGCCATGTTGTACTTTGGTATTTTTGAGATTGATCTACTTCAATCTTTTGGATCATCTCTACACTACCTCCGCCGATACATTGACGACCAATTTGGCATTTGGATTCACCACCCAGATCCAGCCGTGGATCGCCAACGATGGGACGAGTTCAAAGAATGTCAAGGCAACTTTTGCACTCTTAATTGGGACTTTTCTACCCTTCTGAAGACTGTCAACTTCCTTGACCTTACTCTTACTGTTGAACCCTTTCATATTAACACCAAACTATATGGAAAACCACTGAACCTCCATCTCTACATCCCTCCCAACTCACTTCCAGAGACATCAACAAGAAACAATCTCTTGCTAAGTTCCATTCTCACCTCTTTGCAAGAGGCTACAAACTGAAGTTCCTTAACTCTGCCTTTGAGACAGCCCTTCAACAGTTCTCTAAGCACCGCAAAGAACCTGTCACCCCTTCTTCAACGGACCATCTCTGCTTCCTACACCTTCCATTCCACTCGTGCGACCCATCTCAAAAAACCATTCAAGACGCCTTCCATACACAAGTCCTTCGCCCTGTCTCTCGGTCAAAGACCTTTGGAAGAGCATGTAATTTTGAATTGAGTCGCCTCAGCACCAACCGCGTGACATGGGAAGGCCTCTTTCATCCAAACGCCCCTCCCACTTGTACCAAAGACTGAATTTGAACATTACCTGTACAACATACAGAATCCTCACAATCGCAACCGGAATGGCATTGGACGCCTCATTGTTGCATACAGCAGACCACCCAACTTGAAGAACTTACTCTTCCAACGTCATATCAAATCAAAATGTCTTACTGCCCGAACAGTTTCAACCATCCAAGATGAACTCTTGGATCATACGCCAAGTACAGAGCCAAACTGACGACCATACAGGCGTTTGCACAAATTGGACGCCTCCCTTAATTAAACCTTGCGTTTCACCTACATCAATATACCAAATCTTCACTTACGGACCTAGGAATCGCCAACAAAAAGTCCAAAACTCTTGCCTTTTGCCCACTTGTCTTGCCGCTGATGAAGCCTCGGCAAAAGCTACTTTCTCTTCAATAGCTTCGGTCAAGACCGGTTTTCTTGGATAACTTCATTAGATTCTATTTTACCCTCACAACACTTGATGCTCCACTTGTGGATGCTGAGGCTCCAGGAACTATAGCTGGAACAGTAGCTGGGACAGTAGCTCCAATCTGATTAAGATTGAGCTTCTTCCCATAATCGACATATTGATCCTGATTCTTCCATTGGATCCTTGGTAGCAGTCTGTCTTGGCATTTTGGAGACATATGGTCTTCGTTGCCACATACCTACATGCTGCCTTCTTCTTTCCATTCTTTGGTTTCCCTTTCCCTTTCCCTTTTTTAGGTTGGTCTTTTCCTTGGTACAGGTTCACTCCCGGATTTTTAATCACTTCCATGTGAATCTTCAACATATCTTGTGCTTTGCTGACCGTCTTTGGATAATAATCCATTTCCCTGCAATAGTTCATCTGAAGATCCAGCATCAGAGGAGCTGTTCTTGTTCAATCGCAGTTGCAAAGAAATCCTGTTGCAAGAATGGCTTCAAAGATATCATCTTTGAACTTGTTTCAAGCAGCAGTATTGGTGCTAGCAATAGCAGCATACGCTTTTTGTCTTGACTGCAAAATTTTGGAACCAGGCCATGCCATATAGATCTTGTAGGACTTCAGCCTGGGATATGCCGCAGTTGGTCATCAATCTGAGCAAAAATGCGTGACGGGCCGACTTGCTCACTCTTTCTGCAGAAAATGCCCAGACAGACTGCTACCAAGGATCCAATGGAAGAATCAGGATCAATATGTCAACTATGGGAAGAAGCTCAATCTTAATCAAATTGGAGCAACTGTCCCAACTACTGTTCCAGCTATAGTTCCTGGAGCTTCAGCATCCACAAGTGGAGCATCAAGTGTTGTGAGGGTAAAATAGAATCTAATGAAGTTATCCAAGAAAACCGGTCTTGACCGAAGCTATTGAAGAGAAAGTAGCTTTCGCCGAGACAGTCAGCAAAGCACAAGATATGCTGAAGATTCTAGGTCTCCACAGACCCATGCCAAAGAAAGACTGATTGGCATGTCCAAGCTTCTGGAATGAAGTGCTCCAAAGACATGGTGAAATTGATTCCAGATGGAAAGTCAATCGACTTTGATTCAATCGCACCAACGTTGGATGCTCCAGTTCAAACTGAAGTTGTTGCAAGAGAAACAGAGATGAAAACTTGATGCATTTCAAGGAACATTTCTTGAGACAGGCTGAAGTCCTACAAGATCTATATGGCGTGGCCTGCTTCCAAAATTTTGCCTTCAAGACAAAAAGCGTATGCTGCTATTACTAGCACCGATACTGCTGCTCAAAACAAGTTCAAAGATGATATCTTTGAAGCCGTTCTTGCAACAGGATTTCTATGCAACTGCGATCAAACAAGGACAGCTGTTAAATTCTTTCACTGACAGTTTGCCGTATTTAAGTTTTGGATTTTTACATAGTTGGCATTTGCTTCACGTGAGTCTCAACACGGTGTTGTAGACCTGGCCAAGTTTGTGTTACGCCAGGGTGCTGTAACATGTCATGATACCACTGTAGAACATGCTGTCATAGTGGCTTAGGAACATAAATCTTTTTATGGAATAAGATTATTTCGGTGCCATGCACCTCTTTGGAAAAGTATTCTGGATGGTTTTGTAAATGTCGCATGAGACTTTTGTCTTTCTTTTGATACTCTGCGACTAGACCGGTGTCGAGGGGGAATTGATATTTCTCCGCCTTATAACCTTCCAGTGAGTCCATGTCAAACCTTTCAGCTAGTTGGACTTTGTTGAATTTGTCATATTTTGTTGTGAAGTCTGCGTGCATACGACTTAAGCAATCGGCAACCTTATTGGCAGATCCATCGATATGTCTTATGTCTGGCCCAAATTCTTCAATGATCCGTCTCCATCATTGGATTCTTGGGGATTGAGAAATGGTTTTCGGGTCTGTATGATTTTGTGGTCAGTATATAGATTAATTTCTCGACCAAGCAAGATGTTGCGGTATTTGCATAATGTTTTAACGATTGACAACATTTTGCGTTCTCCCGTTGTGTAGTTCCTTTGCGCAGGATTTAATTTTCTGCTGTAGAAAGGAATAGGTTTTCCTTCTTGGGAAATCATTCCACCAAGCTGGAAGTCGCTAGCATCAGTGTGTATTGTGAAAGGTTTGGAGAAATCAGGGAATGCAAGCATAGTGTCTTTTGCAATCACTCGTTTCACATGTTGGAACGCTTCTGTGTGTTCTTTTTTTCATGCTAATGGACGTCCTTTTTTGGTTGATTTGATTAGTTCAGTAAATGGAGCTAACATATGTGAGCGCTTTTCCCACACATCACGGTAATAATTGAGCATGCCAAGGAATGAGCGTAATTGTTTCAAAGTTTTTGGGGGTTTCAACCGCTGAATCGCTTCGGCAAATGCCTTGGTGCAAGACCAAGTAGCCTAAGTATTTAAATTGTTGAGTTGCAAACTCAGATTTGGGTAAATTAACTTGAAGGCCGGCTTTGTGGAGCCGTTGGAGACATAGTTTGAGCCTTTGAAGGTGGACTTCAAAGTCACCTTTGGTGACACAGAGGACGTCGTCTAAGTATGTTAAGACGTCGCCCAGGCCTTCCATGAGGCGATTCATAGCTTCTTGAAAAATGTAAGCTGAGGGCATTGCGCCCATGTCTGTAAGTAAATCGGAATTTTTGGACGTGGATAGACTCAATTTTGGAACATTGAGTTTAAGACTCAAAAGTCCGTGACAAGGTGGCATTGTCCGTTTGCCTTGGGAACAATAAATGAAGGAGCGCTCCATTTGCTGGAAGTGTCCTTCTTGAGAACGCCAATGCAAACTAAACGATCAATTTCTTTGCTGATTGTGTCTCTATGTATGAATGGAATTGGCATAGGTTTTTAGTGGAATGGTTTACTTCCTGGTTTCAGTTTGAAGTCAACTGGAGTAATGTTCCACGTGCCTAAAGTGCAGTCAAATAATTCTTCATATTTGTGCGCTGATTTTCTTCAACGTCCGTGTTTATATCTGCTTTTTTGTATTTAGACGCGCCAAATAGTTCTTCTTCTTGTTCTATTTCCATGATCTCCTCAAACGTGGTTTGAAGTTCGTTTTTGTTTTCATCAGAACACTCTGTGTAACCTTTCATGGGAACTGAGATTCCGTCCCACATTAGCGATTGTTTGGACCAAAGGATGCCAATGCCTAGTGAGTTTTGTAGATCACGTCCGATGATCATGTCGTAGCTAGAGTATGAACTTTTGTCCACATGCATTGGCAAGGTTATTTCGCGACTTGAGGTGAACTCTGGAATACAGAATGTGACGTTACATTTAGACTTGGTTGTAAAAGTACTAGCGTTGGTCGACCAAATTGTTTCTTTTGCTACATGATTTTTGCTATATTCTCCTTTGCTTGACCGGAGAGAATAGATAGAATTGTCTGGTGTTTTCCAGCAGCATTCAGGGCTTGTCCGATTTTGAGTTTGTTCCAAGTAAATCTGAATTGGCAGTAGTCTTCTACCGTATCACCATCCCAAGGCGTGAATTCCTTTTTGTAGGTTGGTGATGCGTTTTGAGGGTTGCGTCATATCTTTTGTTTGATTTTGGCTTTGGCTTCATGGTCCCGCTTAGATACTTCCTTGTAAAGAGGAATTGGAGCATTGTGCTTTGGGTTCTGGTCGAAGGCAGTACCGTTGATGATAACTTTCATGATGTTGAGTAAGTTTTGTTTAATTTGTGGACTGTAAAAGGGATGATCAATAGATCTTTGCAAAGTGAATTCACTATGACTTAATCTAGATCAAAGGGATTTGACATCAGTTGATTAAAAAAATTGTGAGTATTAGAATAATGGTTTTTAGGTGCACTATCTAGTCTTGGTTTGGCCAAGGGATGTGTTCCTTTGGCCTGAAATATTCAGTAACGGTGCTGAGATATTTAGTAATGATCGGAGTACTTAGAAAGGCCAATAATAGTTAGGTCTGGAATATTGAGTAACAGATAGGAGTATAACAAAAGTGTCTGTTGAAAAGAGCGTCAGATGCAGCGTCTGTTGGAAGTTTGTTGAAAGTCTGGCCAGATAACCAGCGGTCTGTAGAGAGTACGTCACACTTCATGTTGGACGATTGGATGGTTGGTTTTGAAGGTTTCACCATTGGTGACTTGCTGATAGTCGGAACACTGCTAATCATAGGAATCGTTGTGTGAGATTTTGAGGGAGTTCTTGTGGGATGACTGGTTGATGTTGAAGAATTAGTGATAAAGATTGGATCTGATTCCAAACTGTTGGCAGCATTAGTAGCATTGTAAATTGTCACTGTCCCTTGTAGAAGTTTGGGCTAGTGCTGACAGGCAGACATCAATGCAATCAACATGTTAGAAGTACCTGTTCAATTAACTGTATATGAATTTACAGTACATAGAAGTATATAGATCTATCAGAGATTCTACTTTATCAACCAATCCACTCGTTGCATGCAATATATTATAAAAAGTGAGAACAGTCTGTCAACTTTTGACTTTGACTCTTTCTTCTCCAGCTCAGTGGAAATTCTCAGAATTCTCTCTACGTTAGCCTGATATGCTGCAAGTTCAATGTGCTTATCTGTTCACCTTCCACTTCAGTCGGTACTTTGATTAGTATCCAACTTTGGTTCTTGCTTTAGTCTTGCTTTCTTACATCATCAACAGGATGATTTCCATAGAAACATGATCTGTTTTCTGACTTGCCACGCGCGATATTTTTAGTCGCATCAGTCATCATTTTTAGTCGTATCAGTCGACATCTTTTCTCTATTGTTCACGTGTATTCTCTTTTTCTCGTTTCTCCAAATATGTACTTAAAAAATCCAAATATATCCAACACACTCCTGCCGTTTCATTAACATAGTTGATGACAATGGAACATCAAAGGAAATTGCGTTGCTCCTAATCTTGTTCTCCTTGGATCAATGATCTGAATTCCAAGAACTTTTGTCGCTGTAGAGGTTTGCTCATGAAATCTCCCCACATCTTGTGCTTCCAAAAACAATTTTGTCCAAAATATCTGTGTTGCAGCATCATCAACACCAATCAATTCGGCTTCTGTTGAACTTTGACTGTTCAACTTCTGCTTCTTTGAGATTAGTTGTATTCCTTCTTCACCGGTACAAAAAGTTGAGAGGAGACATGGAGAAACATGGTTTTATTTTCAATCCATACGATGGATGTATTGCCAACAAGATTCTAAACGGCAAACAACAAACTATTTGATTTCATGTGGACAATCTGTTATCAAGCCACATCGATCCAAAAGTGAATGATGATTTTTGTGAATGGATGAATCAAAAGTATGGTTCCATCAAACCAGTCAAATCTAAGCGAGGAAAAATTCACGAATATTTGGGAATGACCCTAGATTTCAGTAAAAGGGGGAAAGTGAAAGTCCGAATGGATGACTATGTTAATCGAACGTTGAATGAATTTCCTGTGAAGTTCAAGGAAAATGAGGGGTGTAAGACACCAGCAAGTAATGATTTGCTATCAATCGGAAAAGGAGAAAATTGGATGATGAGAAACGTGAAACTTTTCACACATTCATTGCCAAAGGATTATTTATTGCTCCAACTATTTCAGTACTTTCTACAAGAGTACAGAGTACAGAAACCAAATGAAACTGATTGGAAGAAGCAAGTGAAGCTGATGTATTATCTGAATGCACCTGACGCTGAGTGCAAAAGATTTACAAACTTTCAAATGGTATATTGATGCATCATTTGCAGTTCATCCAGATTTCAGAAGTCACACTGGAGTGTATTGCCTATGGGTGAGGGAGGATTGCAAATAATCTCGAAGAAGCAGAAGTTGAACAGTCAAAGTTCAACAGAAGCCAAATTGATTGGTGTTGATGATGCTGCGACACAGATATTGTGGACAAAATTGTTTGTGGAAGCACAAGGTTATCCTGTTGAAGAGAACATCCTATACCAGGACAACAAGAGTTCTATTCTATTGGAAAAGAATGGACGTGATAGTGCCGGAAAGCGAAGCCGAGCTTTGAACATTCGATATTTCTTTATGACTGATCAAGTCAAGAAAGGAAATGTAACAAAGGGAATGCACCTGACGCTGAGTGCAAAAGATTTACGAACTTTCAAATGGTACATTGATGCATCATTTGCAGTTCATGCAGATTTCAGAAGTCACACTGGAGGTGTATTGACTATGCCATAGATGGCTTGCAATACTCTCACATAAATCACTTGTTTTCCGTTTTCAATTACAACGTAATCACGATATATATATATATATAAAACTGATGCATTAATCGTATTAAAACTATCTCAAGTTTCTAGATTGCCGTTAACGGCTGTCATGGCCATTTACCATATGGAGGTGAGTCCAGTAGTGTTGAACTAGTGTGAGGCATCCAATCCCAAGGAAGTTGCTCTCATCGGATATTACATTGCACCCTTGCACATGTAGAAACGATCTTGCCACTCGGGGCAGGGTATTTTTATTTTGTTTTTTGAGTGTTTTGAAGGTGATGGTGGGCATGATTGTGTAGCAGGTGGGAAGCCAATGGTTCTTACGCCCTAATGTTCCAGGACAAGGTGGCGACCATCTACGTGACAGATTGCAGTTCCCTAGTCCTGTGGTCAACAGAGGGAGAGTGAAACATAGAGGGACAGAGAGATGGCCGAGACATCTGACTGTTTATGGATTTGCGCCGGTTGGCCAAGTCGATGGTTGGTTGGCGGGTCGTGCCAGGTCAAAGATCATCTAGCGTTGCCTGGCTAGAGAGCGACGGTTGATCGCTCTCTCACGGGAGACAAGGCGCAGCCAATGTTGACGATCTTCGAGTGATTTGTTGAGGACAGTTTCGCGGGAGTCCCAGAAGAGGTACTGGGAGCGTGGGGGGATATCCATCAGGCCCATGGCGAACTGTTCGCGGATGCCAATGTCAATCTCCCGCTTGCGAGCCGTGTACCAGGAGCTGTCTTCAGAGTGGGCAAGCCGGTTGCGGTCTTTCCACATGTAGTGCCCGATCCGGATCAGTTGTTGGATCAGGCGGGAGGCCCAAAGGTTGGCAGACTTCTTGGAGCCAATGTAGGAGAAGTGAAGGGCCTGCAGGTGTCGCCAGTTGGGGGACACTAGGCCTTCAAGGAGGCCCTGGGCCCCAAGCGTGGCTTGGGAAGAGATGGCACTTTGGAAGAGGTGGGGATGACGGGACCAGGCTCGGACGGTGGGGACGCCCAAGGAAGGCTGACGGACTATCTTCAGGTATTCAAAAAGGAAGGCTTCGATCTCTGGGGCAGTCTGCTGAGTCTACATCCAGGTCCGGAGGGCCAGATGGCGTTTTGACCATTCTGCAGCTGCGGTAGGAGCAGAACAGCATGGGACATGGAGGTGACCTTCCATGGGGCAGGAGGAGCATCTGGGGCAGGAACTCTTTGCCGAACGGTTCCAAATGGCCAAGAATTTTCCCACACCTGTCATACCAGAGATATGCTTGGGTGTCCAGCGTTGGAGATTTGCTGAGAGGGCCTTCATGGCGCCTGCAAGAGACAAAGGGCAGGGAGAGAGACTAGCTCCATGATGTGAGCCTGATCCAGTTGGGACGACTTAACTCCATCAATGAATAAAGACACAGGTTCATGGAAGAAACGGGGGTTGGAGGCGGCAGAACGGCCTGTAGACTCCAGCAGGCGGGGTTAGGATTGTGCTTTGAAGTCCACTTCCATATTGCGCTGCTCCCACCAGTCCAGTTGGGAGAAAGACCGATCAGAACGGCTGTCCGCTCTTAGCCCTTTCCATGCTTTCAGAGTAATCGCTGTCCCGTCAGCATTCAAAATATCAGAAAGAGTGACTGCATGCAGGAAGATCCGACACCAGTTGAGCCATTTCAAAGTAAGTTGGTCCACCAAAGAATCGATGAACAGGTCAACTAACAGTTGGTCTCCTCGGCGTAGTAGCTGAAGAGAAGGGGAATCAAACTCCAGGTGGATGGAGAGAGAGTCAAGTTTACTCCAAGTCCGCTTTGCCCACGTGTCAGATGCCAGGATGGAGGTGTTGGCATAGACTTGTTGGAAGAGGCTGTAGGAGGTACCGGTTTCAAGCTGATGGGCCTGAAGGACTGCCTCCAGGAAGGCGCCCGTCTTGGTCTGATTGGCAGGATGGCAAAGTAGCATGTCCAAGTGTTTGATGACTTGGAGACCATACAGATGAGGGACACCCACTCCTTGGAGTGCAATGGGGGCATAGACCATAGCACGAGGAAAGCTGCGGCAAATACCAGCCTTTGGAAGTGCCGTCCTGAGCACTGGGGATAGTGTCTTGTCCCACTCCTAATGAGAGAAGAAGGTGAGCGCCATGGGGCACTCCAAAGTCTTCTGGATTGTGGTGCAAAGGAGAGGGAGGACATCATATCGGTGGAGGAAGCTAGGTTGGATCTGATCCGCCCATGCTTTTGCTTTTCCCTGCATCACCACAAGTCGTGCTTTCCTGTTTGAGCAGGGGGACATCAGGATATCCAAAGTCTTCGCTGATTCGTCCGGTTCCAACCACTGCAGATGCACTGGGGTGCCATCCAGATCATCCAGTTCAACCGCAATTGCCGACGCTCAAGTGGGAAGTGCCGCTGGGCAGATATCAGTGTCATCGACAAAACAAAAGCAATCGGCCAAGAGCAGAGCCCAAGAGATTGACATCAGAAAGTCAAAGCCAAAGCCTTTTCTAATCATCATCCCCAAGCGAATGGAGCTAATTGCAACCCAGATAGGAGGTCTTGCCCCATTGCCTTGTCCATATCCTTGAAATGGAATCAGGGTCGGAGGAGTAAAGACACGATCTGAATTGCCAAACCCCGTACGCACCCGTTGCTTAGACTTCATCAGTGTATCAAACATGGAGCGAAGGGTACGCCATTGAATCCCAAAGCGCATGAGGCTAATGATTGCCACCCAGTGGACAATCTGGTCAAAGCAGGACGTGGCATCGTTGGAGATCCACCCGGCCGGGCGGCGTTGAAGATGCAAGAGGTCGTCCCAAGTGAGACGCTTTGTAAGGGCCAGATCGATGGCCCATGTTGTCCTTTTGGGATCAAGTTGTGCTGCTCTGCATAGGCAATGGCCGATTTCCCCACTCTCTTGTTGTTGGCCTGCAGCTCTGAATTCATCATTTGGATTGTGTGCATGAGGTCCACCCGAATCTTGCCTGGTTTCTTCTCAATTGCAAAGTTGAGCAAGTGGCACCACTGGGCTGGGACAAATCCTGTAGCAAAAGGGATGGAGCGAAAGAGCGTGTCGCAGCAGGCCAGCAAGTTGGATGCTACTCCCGCTTTGAAATGGCCATTATGCAAGCCGTGTGGCTCCAAACCTTTGCATTCCCCCATCTTACGCCAGAAGCTTACATGGTCCTCCAGGTCCACTTCCAGTGGCTGGTCTTCCAAGCCCTCCGCCCGTCGGCAATGGTCCAGGAATGACACCAGGTAAGGATCCGCTGTCTCATAAAGACCCCGGAGCAGTGCTTGGCTGTTCCTTTTGGCATTGGGGCCATTGAAGTTGGAGTACAAATGTGCAGTCATGGGTGGAGTGGGGTAGGGGTAGCGGGTCTGGTCACACCGGAGCCGGTTCTCTTGCATGCAGCCTTCTTCCACAAGACGTTTAGACTGGCATGTTACCCAATGGGAGGTACCATCCTGTGCCACCTGGGTCACTTTGATCTGCTGGAGGCCGCCAGAGAAGCCTTTGCCTTGAGCTTTCCGTCGCCATCGGGTCTCTTCTTTTTTGTGCCATCCGCTGGACTTGAGTCTGATGCGAGCTTTGATGTTGCCCTTCTTTGCTCTCCGGACCGCTGCCGATCGGTTCTCCAGATATTCAAGGCGCCACTGATGGGCACGCTTCCGCTTGGCCTCTTTGTAGGCTTGATGTTCAAGGTACCACTTTGCCTGTAGGTCAGCTTCTGATAATTTTCATGCATCGGTCAGCCCGGTCTTCTTCAACAAACGCCGGACCTTCCGTGAACTAGTCCTGACCTGTCTATGGCCCAAGATTAGGAGCTGGTAAAGGTGCAACCTATCCCATTTCTGCTGCATTTGTGGTGATCAGTGAACCTTATCCATCGACAGTTTCCGGCAGTTGCGCTCAGCCCTTCGGCAAATCTCATAGGCTTGGCAATGAATGGTGTTGAATTGAGCTTGCTGATTCGCCGTAAGGTAACCGTCCCGGACCAAAATATCCTCTGCTAATTGGGTCAAGCGTTGGGGAAGGCGGAAATGCCAGTAGCCCGCTTCCGCAGCCTTAATATAGCGGTCCACAGACCGACCATCAGCCAGTGTCAACCGACGTGGTTGGAAGGAAGGAGAGGTCACAGGTGGAGCCCCCAGAGTCCAGAGTCCCCTGTGGTCCGACTTAAAATACTGCTGAAAGTCCAAGTATCCACCTGCCGTTACACGGACGCCGTTGGTCACAAATATACCATCGATGGGAGTATCCGTCGTCCGACTTTGGGTTGTCGCTGGGTAAGGGCCCTGATGTCGGCGTAAGATGGCCTCGGTCAGGCCTTCAGACCGCATCTCTTGGCGGAAGGAAGAGGGAGAGTTGTAGGAGACATCTTCGTTTGCATCTAACCCAAGGAGAATCTTGCACCCTTCCGCTTTCCATTGTTTGATCAGGTCCACCAAATCCAGTGTGAGCTTGTCACGGGGATCCATAGTCACCCCCTTGCTCAGCCAGTGATTCTGTTGGTAGTTCCAAACACAACCAGCATTGGTACCTTCCTTGTTCGGACGATATGCAGAGACCACCACAAGATCTAAAGGACCAGCCGGGGGCCCATCAGTCTGGGACTCCTGTTGTCGGATGTCCCTGCCCCAGATCTTGATCCAAGAGAACCTGCCTAGCCCTGACTCATCTTTGCCGCCTGACTTTGCATGGCGCACGACCTTGTGGAGTAATGTAGCAGAACATCCGCCCCATTGATGCGCCGAGGGAGTTGGAATCTCCTGGTGTTTGTAGTAAGACACTGAAGAGAAATGTCCCTGGTAAGTGAAGGTCTTGACCCGATCAAACCACTTGTGTCCTATGGGCACTGCTGACCATTGAAGGTTAACTTCAGCCAGCAGTGCAATGCCCACTCTCTCATCCGTCCAACGCTTGAAGTGCCCTTTCTGTTTCTCATGTGTCATAGGAAATGGAAGACCCTGAACATTTTGAAAAAGGTACCGGGTAACGCGAGGAGACTTCTGGTGTGAGTCATCACTGAAGTAGTTACCGGGAGGGAGAGAGTTTAAATAAGCATCCAGCAAGGAGTGGGCCACCTGGCTGGATGTGTGTTGGTTGCGTAGATTTTGACCTCGGCCTACTGTCAAACTCCGCAACCTTGCGTGACGGGACCGCTGTTCAGATGCAGAAAGTTTTGCCCGAGCTGGAGACTCCGTAGGAGGGTTGGTTGCTGACTGGGGTGTAGACTTCAGTGCAGGAGTAGGCAATGGGAGAGGTCTACCTTCCAACCTCGCAATCTAACCCTTTGGGATAAGCGGTCGGTTAGTTGATATCTTCAACTGGTTCAGTCAGGTTACGAGGAGTACGACATCCCTTCCCGCCTTACCACGCTAAATCAGCGCATTGAAAACAATGAATACCAGATGCCACCTTTGTTAGAACGCAAATATAAGTGCCCCCATCAGCAGTCTTGGAAGGCCATTACTCCCTGCCCAATCTGCTTGACCCTGCTACTACAGCCTTTCTTTCCCATTGCCAATTTCACAAGGATCATTCACCCATACACCTAACCGTTCGATTATAGTGGTCCAAGCAGAGCCAGGTGCGGCATGTCTTCCTCTGATACTTCAGGTCCTGCCATAACTCAAGGTGAGAAATAAGGAAGGCCGCCAGGTTCTTGAGAACTTCCTGTGCCAATGAGGCAAACTTTTGGCGCACCACAAACACATAGAAGCCATCAATTGGGCCTGGTAGAATCATTTGGAAGAGACCGGCTGGGCCCTGGTTCAGTTCCGCATCCATTGCCGCCAGCCATGCGCTGCGATCAAATGCAGGGTTCTGTGGCCACGCAGGTTCTAGGGCTATAGCTCTCTTGAAGGTGAAGTGACGCATGAGCTCGCGTTCCAGTGCCGCTCTCCCAATCCCCATGGGGTAGTTCAGTAGCAAACCGATTCGGACAGGATCACTAACTTGCAGCAGGGAACGGAAGACGTCTGCATGCGTACCAGTGATCTCAAAACATTGAACCAGTAGTTGGGACATGTTGTCCAGAGAAGAGTTGTGGGCGACGCGAATGCGGGTGCAAAGAGTCTTGGATCCGGGGTTCTTAGCGTTGTAGCCAAATCGGGTGCCATTAAATGTAGGGCTTGAGCTTCTTGTAGGTGAGCTCCTCCACTTTCTCCTTAGAGGTCAGCCACAACTTTTTGTCCGGTACACGGAGTTCGCTCACCGGAAGAATGACCAAGTCGCCCTCAGCGTTGTCCATAGCCATGGACAGGACCGAGACCATTTCTTCACTTCAATAGAACCACCCTCAGATGTATTGCCATCCCATTCATAGTTGATTGTAGCGCAGAGGAACTGGGCGTTTGAGCGCGGAAGCCCAGTCAAATTCACCTGTGTCACTTCACGGGCTTTCATTTCTTCAGAGAGGTACTTGGTCCGAATAGCAGCCTTCTTCTTGGAGGCGGCAACATAAGTGAGTTGCTTCTTCATGGACAGAGGAGCTGAAGGTCGAGGAGGGTTGGGAGGCTCAGTCTTCGACCAGTGAGAGTCGATCAAAACTGTTGCCGAGGGGTTGTTGGCCCGCTGAGCTGGGGCAGGTGACTTCCCCACAATCACTTCAGTAGGAGGTTGGTCCAAATTCGATGGTGCAAAAAAGTCTGGAGCCGACTCAACCGACTCCGACCCATCGTTGTCGGACCAATAAGCAAACTTGCCGTTGACTGGTTTATTGGTGGGGCTAATTACCGATGGACCCGTTGTGTCCATCATCACCGAATCATCCTTATTGGGGGCAACAGAGTCGCGAACTGGTTTTGGGGTGGCATCCGGAAAGAACCCTTGTGCAGGAGAGCGAGGGTCAATTGGAGCTGGTTTTTGTTCCGTTGATGGGTCCAGATCACACTCACGTTTTTGGCCCTTGGCTGCTGAGCGACGCTCAGCCAATTCTGTTACTACCGTCGTTGTGTCAGGTTCGGTCCACGGGTGGCCTAGAAGTTCAACCGCAATGGCCCACACTATAGCCAGAGGACTTAGTTCTAGTAGTAAACGGGGCTCGACCTCTGAAGTAAAATCCCAATACCGATTGAAAAAATTAGTCTCCTCCATCAGGTCGTCCAACGGAAAAATCACCAGAGGATCCTGTACCGCCAGCCCAAGAATCAGTCCTTGGACATAGACGACGAGCTCCCAATTGTTCCCAATAAATTCGTCCTTGATGTCTCGGTCAAGCGCAGCTCAAATGCGTTGCTTGACTAAGTTCCAGTCCCCATCACAAATCTGTAGTAGCTTATCCAACCTTGCTGCTTGGATTGAGAATTGGGATCATGACGAGGACGATTTCCAGAGACCTTTTTTTTGCTTACAAGACAGCGGATGCTACAACGAACCAGTATGGCAAGATTAGCTATGTACTTGACTGCATGACAGCTGAAACCTACTTGGCAATCCCGGCACCACCAGGTTCAAAACATGGGCTTCCAACATTCAAAAGCAACCGCCCTGAATCCATGTTGGAGAAGTTCCATGAATTGTTGGCCTACTACTGCAATATTGGGTGTGGCGATGAATTTGCAAATGCTATAATAATGAAAGGATGGGCGGAGTACAATGTCACTGCTAGACACCGCTACTACTGCATGAAAAAGCGGTCTGCAAACCAACTTGAACAACTTTGAGCGCTTGATATAACTCCTAAGTTCCTTGACCATTCTTTGTTACACTGCATCAATGAACAGTCATGGGATCTTGGACATGGTGATCTGTTCAGCAACTATGAGAAACCACCCAGTAAGAACAATGGTGAAGTATTCCTCAAGAACTACTTCAACCAACAGGTGGAACGGAACAGGAACCAATTGTTTGACAAAGACTCAAAGCAGTGCACTTGCAATGAATGCATAATCCCAGCTGGGCCTCCTCCAGCAGTGCCTGCAGCTGGAGTTGAAGATAACAATTCTCATCTACTCACTTGTCAACTCACTTGTCAAATGGACTTGATGGCACTTGATGACACTTCTACTGCCACCAATGCAGTGACAGAAACGCCTCCAATGCGGGTAGACCCACCAAGGCGTCAACAAACCTTTGGATACTGCTTTCCTTTCCATCCATACCGGTGCGATGATATCCAAAACTATGTCAAGAGAAGACAAGCTGGCAAGGTGGTATGTGGAATACCACCACACAGTTTCAACTGTCCTACTAAGTCAATGTTGAAAGGCTGGGCTCCAGTTGATTGATTTTGTTCTTTCCAGCTATTCTTTGAAAAGTATTAGTTATATTTGAATAGTACATGAATTATAGCCACATTCTAATATACACTACTTGGTTCCCAATTTTGCCTCAACATGTTCTACGCAAAAATTCCATCATACAAATATGCAGGAAATGACGAAAATCCGTACCGCGCGGGGTCAACTGTGGGAATTCTGATGTCTTTCGATGGGCGATCCCTGCCTTAAATATATTTCAGTTTTTAAACAATATCATTTTCACAGAACAACTTTACTTTCGATCTTTTCTGATCCTAATTCTGTAAATAGCAACGGGTCATTTGATGGTCGCAGGGTCATTAAGAAACTTCGAATTCCAAATCATATCAATAGACGGAATCCTGAAGTTGGGAGTTACAGTCCAAACCAAAATTCTCAAACACGCAGTAGAAATACGTAAGAATAGTAGTCCACGTCACATAACAGGTCTAAGAAAGTACTTTGGCAAACTCCCCGTGTCATCGTGCAATTTCGTGGGTTTT